AAAAAAAGTTGTAATATCGATAAGCAGTAATCACCCTCTGCACTGCTTCAACTCGTGTCCGTATTGCCCACAAAGTTCGCATGGGCGCTGCTGATTGGGGATAAACTCCTCTCTAAAAATAAAATTCCAAAAACATTGTAGGAATTTTAGAGAGAACCATAAACATTTAGTCATAAAATACCTCTAACCGTATAATGTTGAAATTAGCTTCGTGGGTAGCTAACCCAAGCATGATAAGATCTGCATCAGCACCACAAAGACAATGAACTGTGTCTGGATTATGAGCTGGATTTGAACGCTGCCTACGAATAAAGTCCATGATCTTGTGCTCTCCTTCTCCGGGTGCGTTAGCGTCGGAAAGTATCACCTGAAGCAAAGATAATTCGCTAGCACAATCCCAATAACAAGTTATTGATAAACCTCAATCTTTGACCAGGCTGGATCAGTAGTAATTCGTTCATGGATATAGTAACGGAGGGCTTCGGCTAACCTGTAGATAAATTCCCTTCACAATTACTCTAAAGAGGAAAACGACACGAGAAGGAGACCCACCGCGCCATGAAAGGAGTTCCCGGAGTAATACAATTACTGTCAAAATGATTTTCCTCTTCTTTTTTGGGAGGGAGAGCAATGCCTTCTTCTTCTAAACGTCGTCGTTGCTACAATGAGCATACAGTTACGACAAACAGCTCCTCTTTTGTTAAATGCAAGAAATGATTAAATCCAAAGGAGCTGAATAATCGATTCGCCTTCACTTGGAAAATGAGAGAACTCACCTCTTCAATCGATGCTGCCTTCTCCCAAGCTTCCTTTGAAGCACGGAAACGTCGACTACGCTGTTGGTTCATCTGAATAACAACAATACTTCTAATAAAAGCTACAACGAATGACGTGGCCACATTGAGCATCCGAATTGTAACATGGGATTAAACATTTGGAAATTCACCTTTGCTCGTGGAGCGACACCGTCAATTGCCATATAAAGCAGCTTTCGTGGTCGGACTATCGAAAAAATCCGATCTATGTACTCGAAGATTAGTGCCTAAACGAAAAACATTAACATCCCGATGATAACGATGATGACGTATGAATGACATACAAACATCTCGTCTTCATTAGCAGGAGCTGGTCTATCTTCTGGATGGGTACAAGGGTGGATGATACCATTCATGTCAAGGTACAGGTTGTCGAATTCCTAGAAAGCCTTAGCAAAATCATTGAATTAAACAAAAGGAAATCGGCTTAGCTCAACATACTCTTACCCCCTCTTCCCCCTCCCGAAACTCAAGAACGGCTCTAATTACTATGAAGCAAATGAAGAACATTAATATAGTACGAAGTTACTGGAGCCTGCCCGAGAGAAACTTAGGACAAAAGAGATGCTGTCGTTCACAATGCTTTTAAACCGCATCAATCCGCATCTGACTTAAAAGCTTGAATAAAAAAAAGTACCTGGAAGTTAGGATTCGGTTTAGTGGAATCTATTGGGATTCGAGTGCCGTCAGCATTCCTCTGACGCTCTTCATTGGCGTTGACGATAATGGAGGGGTACTTTCTCGTAAGCCAACGGAAGAATGCTGGTACACCCATTGATTACCTAAAAACGGCCTTAAGGCAAATGATTTGGAGAGGTAAGAAACCACAAAGGCGTGATTTGTACGTATCTTTAAAAAGAGATGCTAACAGTTGGATACTTGCAAAGCTAAAGTAGCAACAAAAGACACAAGAGGGATATATCCACTTCCCGCTGACAAGACGAACATACGATTCTTGAAAAAGCCAGAAAAAACTGAGAATTTCCACAAACGACAAGTTATGCGCTCGAGATTTCCTCGCAATTACAGTAACTTGACTGCATCGTCCTTTACTTGGCAGTGTCATTGGCGCGCATTAACAGGTGTTATTGTCTTTTCATCAACCTACTTAATGTTAGATATGTAGAAGGCCTGTCTTCACTTGAAGTGCAAGCCAAAACATTGTTTCCATCCACTTCTGTCTCGCGCTGCGTCATCCATGATGCTGGTTTAGACTGCGTCGGAGACGTTCCCGAG